CCCCCCGCCCCAATAAACGTCCCTGCCGGAGGCCCAGCCTGTCCTTGGCGCCTTTCGACGTCACCCGGCGGAGTGGTGAGGTCACAGCGGCTCGGAGGCGGGATGGCCATGGGGCGGGTGATGCCCAGCAGCGACGTCACACGTGCGTGCGTGACATCACTGGCAGGCGTGCAACGGCCGGTGTGACAGCGTACAGGCACGTGACATCACGGCAGGGCACGCGATGGCTGGCATGACATCACGCAAGCGTGCGTGACGCCGCTCGTGGGTGGGAGATAGCTCGTGTGATGCTCTGCAGCCGTGAAGTTGGGTGGTGTGACGGTGCTGTTGAACGTGTGACGGCTGCTGTGACATCATACGGGTGTGTGGGACGTCACTGCTAGACATGATCAGAGGCACAATGTCATACAGGCATGTGTTATGTCACTGCTGACAGTGTGATGGTGAGAGAGACATCATGCAGGCACGCGCAACACCACTGACGGACATGTGACTGCCAGCGTGATGTCCTACAGACATGAGTCGGATGCTGTGATGCCACACGCTCATTGTGACATCATACCGCCCGACTCAGGACCGGGGCAGAGTCTGACATCACGGTGATGGACAGGCGATAGGTCTTGGGGTGCGACAACACACGCAAGCCAGGACGCCATCCTGAGGACCCTGGCCGGTGCAATGTGACATCACCCAGCCACCGTGACATTGCCCAGTCGCTATGACATCACCCAGAGGGACTTAGGACCCACAACCCCCTAAATCCCTGCAGACTCACCCAAAACCACAGCACCGGACAGCACGGCCAGCTTTTAATCAGAAAACCCCTAAAAAAAGTGCATCTCCCCCCCCCAACCCCTTGTCGCCCCCCCCGCCGCTTCTAATGCTCTTTTATGAAAAATCCCCCATTTCAACTGAGATATATATATATTAAAAAAAAAAAAAAAAAAAAAAAAAAGAAGAGGACCCCCCCTCTGGGTGGGGCCGGGGCTATTTTGGGGTGTTATATTTACGGGGAGACTCGGCCCCCCCAAACCCGGGGAGCCTCCTGCACCCATTAAACAACCCCACGACGAGTCTAGCTGCTCGAGGCGTCTTTTAAAAAGAAAAAAAAAACCCCAAAAGGGAAAAAAACACCCCAGAAAATGGGGGAGGGTGGTGGTGTGTGCCGGATACAAGCACCCCTTTTTTTGGGAGGGGGCTCACACCAAGGAGCCAGCTCGGCTCTGCGCCGGCACCATGACGGGGACGGCGCCCGCCCGTGCCAAGCTGGAGGGGGGCAATGACCCCGGGGGGGGGGCTGGATCCTGGCGACGCTGGGGGACCCCGTTAACGGCGGGGGGGGAGAGTTTGGGGTTGCGTCCCCCTCCCCGGGGTGGGGGTCCCCGGTAGCTGCCGGTGGCGGTGAGGATGGAGGCGGTGTCGGAGGGGGGTTTGGCTCCGTAGGGTTTCTCCCGGGTGCCGGCGATGGAGGACAAGGTGCTGGTTTTGGAGATGGTGTCCGAAGCTGGGCTCCTCGCCCACGATGGGGTTTTGGGGGCCACGGCGTCTTCCCTGCCGAGAGGGAACAGCGTCAGAGAGATTGGCATCGGCACCGGGAAACCCTGCTATTCCCCTCCCTGGCATTCCCCCCTGCCCCTGCAAAGCAACAGGGCCCCTGAGGTTGCGCAGAGCTCCTGGACCCCAAAACAGGGGTGCAAGAGGGAAAGGGGGAAAAACAGAGGTGGAAAAATGCCCTATTTAACTCTGAAACCTAATGATGACTGGCCAGAGATGGAAACCTCCTTCCCTCTTCTGTTACCCCTGAAACCTAGTGATGACTGGCCAGAGATGGACACCCCCCCCGTTAACTCTGAAACCTAGCGATGATGATTTGAGCCTCCTCCACAGGAGGGGTGCCTCACTTGATCTCGTTGGCTGCCTCCTCCTGGCTATCACGTTTTTTCCTCTGGTAGCTGACGACCCGCCGGGCAAAGAAGATGACAGTGGCGAGGGCGCCCAGGGAGCCCAGCACGGCGCCGGCGATGACGGCTTTGGTGCTAGCTGCCGGAGAGAGACAGAGAGGCGGCGGGGGGAGTTCGCCTCCCCCCTTATTCCCACAGGGACCCCACAGGAACCTCGTGGGGACCATGTCCCGTCCCCCCACCCCGGCCCCAGCCCTGCGGACACGTACTCACTTGAGTGCACCTCCAGGACAATGCTGCACTTGGCTGAACCCGCTCGGTTTTCGGCCACGCAGACGTAGAGACCCGACATCTCCAGGGAGAGGTTGGTCAGCTTGAGGGTGCCCCTGGCCCGGTCTACGGGTGAAAAATTTGGGTGCTGCTCCACAGCCAGCCCCCCACTCCCCTCCCTCCCTCCTTCCTTGTGCAGGGAGCGGACAGAGTTAAGGGGATATTCCCCTGCCCGCTCACGCAGTGAGGCCAGGAATGGGCAGAGTTAAAGGGACGAAGCCAAAAGCATCCCCCAGCTGAAGCTTCCTGGGATTTTCCAGCCCCTCCGACTCCGCTCCCCTGGTGTCTGTCCCCCGTGTCCCGTCCCCCCCAACCCCGGTGCCACCTTACCTTGGGCAGGGGGGAAGAAGACCTGCAGGGTGGGAGCCGTGCGCTCCCACTGGTACGCGGGCGAGGGCTTCCCCTTCTCGGAGGTGCAGCTCAGCGTCACGTTGGCTCCCACGGTGGGGTTGCCGTGCAGCTGGCAGGCAGGGGAGGCTGGCGGCACTGCGGGCACCGACGTTAGTCCTGAGGGACTTCGTGACAAGGGGGGGGGGGGCAGGTCGAAGGGCGACCAGCGGAGCCTTACCCAGGACGGTGAGGTTGATGACGCCGATGTTCTTGCCTGTGCCGCTGTCGTCATCCACCACGTTGACGGTGCACATGTACTGGCCCGAGTCGTGCTCCCGGGTGGCGTTGATGAAGACCGAGATGTTGTGGGTGAGGACAGGGTACAGGAACCCCACGCGGGGCTTCAGGTCCGTCTCCTCCACCTTCACCATCCCGTCCAGGTAGGTCAGGATCTGCACGGGGGGAAAACGCCTGCTTTGGTCAACCTCCAGATGGTGTTGCAGGAGAGGAACCCGCCCCCCCGCCAAATCCCAAATTTTGCAGAGTAGCGATTGCTGCATGAGCCCCCTCTGTCCTCACCTGCCCTGAGCATCCAGGGCATGGGAACCGTGGGCATCTCCCCATCGTGGGCACCATGAGCATCCTCCTACCAAGGGCATCTCCCCATCATTGGTATTTCCCCCTCGTGGGCACCATAAGCACCTCCCCGTTGCAGGCACCACAGGCATGACCTCATCGTGGGCATCTACACAACACCATCACCACGAGCATCTTGCCGTTAAGGGCACCTCCTCATCATGGGCACCATGAGCATCCCCCCCACTGTGGGCACCACCCCATGGTGGGCACCTCCCTATGATGGGCACCATGAGCTTCACCCCATCCTGGGCACCACCTCATCACGGTCACCATGAGCATCCCACCATCATGGGCACCTCCCCATCGTGGGTACCATGAGCATCTCCCCCATCATGGCTATCTCCCCATGGTGCTCACCTCCCCATGGTGGGCACCATGAGCTTCACCCCATCATGGGCACCTCCCCACCGTGGGCACCAGGAGCATCCCCCCACCGTGGGCAACACAAGCACCTCCCCATTGCAGGTACCATGGGCATGTCCCCATCATAGGTACCATGGGCACCTCTCCATGGCGGACATCTCTCCATCACGGGCACCACGAGCTTTGCCCCATCATAAGCATCCCCCCACCACGGGCACCACAAGCACCTCCCCATTGCAGGCAACATGGGTGTTTCCCCATCATGGGTACCATGGGCACCGCCCCATGGTGGACATCTCCCCATCTTGGGTACCACGAGCATCTCCCCATCATGGGCATCTCCTCACTGTGGGCACCATAAGCATCTGCCATCATGGGCACCTTCCCATCGGAGGCACCTCCCCATTGTGGGCACCACGAGTGTCCCCCCACCGTGGGCACCACAAGCACCTCCCCACAGCAGGTACCACGGTCATGTCCCCATCATGGGCATCTACCCATCATAGGCACCATGGGCACCTCTCCATGGTGGACATCTCTCCCTCACGGGCGCCATGAGCTTCACCCCATCATGGGCACCTCCCCATCGTGGGCACCATGAGCATCTCCCCACCGTGGACACCACAAGCACCTCTCCATTGAAGGCAACACAGGCATTTCCCTCCCCACCATGGGTGCCACGGGCACCGCCCCATAGTGGACATCTCGCCATCTTGGGCACCACAAGCACCTCCCCATTGCAGGTACCATGGGCATGTCCCCATCATGGGCATCTCCCCATTGTGGGCACCACGAGGTTCCCCCCATCGTGGTCACCTCCCCATCATGGGCACCACGAGCATCCCCCCACCACGGGCATCACCCCATGGTGGACACCTCCCCATGGTGAACACCGTGAGCTTCACCCCACCACGGGCACCTCGCCATCATGGGCACCCCCCCCACCATGGCCACCTCCCCGCTTGTCCCCCTCCGTGCCCCACCACATCCACATCCCCTCCCCACCTCTCACCTGGAAGGGGACGGCATCGTCCTTATTGAGCAGCCAGGTGACGTAGGGCTTCTTCTGGGAGCGGCTGGTGTACCAGGCGGGCAGCACCGCTTGCTGCCCCTCCACGGAGAAGACCGAGCCTGTCCCCACGTGCACCTCCAGCATGGCCGAGGAGACACCTGCCCGCGCCCAGAAAGGGAAGAAAACGGGACGTGACTTGACCCCCCCGGTGCCATTTTTCCATAAAAACCCCACTGATTGTCGGAAAAACCTCCCCATTCCCAAGGGAAAACCCAACAATCCCAGGTTATCGCTGGGAAGTTGGGCCGGGAGGACATTTTTCCTCCTGCCCCGCCACGGGAAGGGCTTTCCGGCTGCTCCGGAGGATGCAGGACAATGCCCTTCCCTCCCATCCCTGTTTCCCCCCACACCCCCCCAGCCCAGGATGGGAAAACCTCTGGCCGAAAATCCCCCCTGCTCCCAGGGGACCCCCACCTCTCCCCAAGGGGCTCCAGCAGCCGGACAGCCCCCTTTAGCTCAGTTTTGGGGCCCCCCGCCCCCCCCCCCCCGCTAGGATGCCGCACGAGATCCTCCACCCCACGGGATTCATTTTTGGGTGCGGGGGCACACATATGCACCCCACAAGCCCTTCCCAGCATCCCCCCTTTTTGCTGCCAGCGCTAAACTGGGATTATTTATGGGTGGCCTCTCCCGCCCCGCCCCCCCCATCCCATCGCATCCCATCCCAAATACACCATCCCCATGTCCCCTGCATCCCAGCATCCCCCCCAAATCCCACTGGGAGGAGGCAATGGGATACGAGCTGGCACAACGGAGCAGCGAAGGATGCTCGGCTCCCAGGGGATAATTATTCCCTGGCTTTGCCCATAAGGCTCAGCTGGAAAATTAATCGGCTCAGGCGAGGCTGGGTTTGTTTTGGGGGTTTTTGTTGGTTTTTTTGTTTGTTTGCTTGTTTTTCCCGGGGGGAATGCCACCGAGGACCCGCATCCCAGCGGCTCCATCCCTGCATCCCGCCCATCGATCTGTGTCCCTGGCTGGCCCAGGTCCTGCCAGTGCCCCAGGGATGCTCTGGATTGGGGTGCGGCGGGGGGGGGGGGG